GCTGTTTTAAGTATTCTGGAGAACTTCAGCTCGTTTTCAGGTTATAAATTAAATTTAGGGAAAAGTGAGTGTTTTCCTGTTAATACGGCAGCACGTCAACTCCAACAGTCCGATCTACCCTTTCGTCTTAGTCCCTCTGGGTTTAAGTACTTAGGGGTTAACGTGACTCGCTCTCTATCTGGCCTTAAATCAGCAAATTTGTCTCCTCTTTTATCTAGGATTACATCTGATATTCAAAGATGGGGTAATCTCCCGCTTTCTTTAATCGGTAAGATTAATGTCGTTAAAATGAATATCTTACCAAAATTTTTATTGTTATTTCACTCAATTCCCTTATTTTTGCCGAAACATTTCTTTGTTTCACTGGACAAGATTATTGGTTCTTTTATTTGGGGAGGGAAGCCGCCTAGGGTTTCTAAAACGTTGCTGCAGCAATGCAGATTTAGTGGAGGACTTGCATTACCTAATTTTCTAGCTTATTACTGGGCCGCTCACATTCAAAAACTCTGCTACTGGCTAAAATCTTCTGGTTCCTCGTGGTGTAAATTGGAGCTATTATCATGTAAGGGCTCCTCTTTACCAGCTTTGCTCTATTCCTCTTTACCCGTAAAACCCTCGTTGTATACTGATAATCCGGTGGTTCTTAACACACTCAAAATCTGGTTTCAGTTTAGACGACACAATAATTTTGTAATGCCATCCTCTTCGGGTCCTCTAACCAACAATCATTTGTTTCCCCCTTCACTTTTGGACACGACATTCTCAGTGTGGTGTGACAAGGGTATAGGACAGTTTAAACATTTATATGTGGATGGTGTGTTCGATAGTTTTCCCAATTTGTCTTCTCGTTATAATCTCCCTATTACCCATGTTTCGCTATTTTCAAATTCGAAATTTTGTTGCCAAGTGTTTCCCGAATTTCCCCTTTTTACCTCCAGAACAGCGGTGGGAAACTATGTTATATTTTATTCCTCATCACAGAGGAACCATTTCGAAACTTTATGATGCTATTCTGTCTCTTAGTAACCACTCTAAGGTTAAGCTTAGGGGTATATGGGAAGGAGAACTAGGAATTGGAATACATGAGGAGTCTTGGGAACAGGCTATAGCAAGGGTACGATCTTCCACCTCCTGCGCTCGTCTTGGACTTATCTAATTTAGGGTCATTCATAGGGTGCATTTCTCTAAGTCTAGACTTTCTGAACTGTATCCGGAAGTGGAAAATAAATGTGATAAATGCCAGGGTTCTCCTTGTCACCTTAGCCACATGTTTTTTTTGTGTCCTGAGCTACAACGTTTCTGGTCAGGGTATTTTGCTATTATGTCAACTGTTCTTGGGGCAACTCTTCTACCTTGTCCTCTGATTGCGGTATTCGGGATTCCTGATCGCTCACTTATACTGGACTCCACACAAAAGGATATCATTGCCTTCACATCCCTATTAGCGAGACGTTTGATATTGTTACATTGGAAGTCTGCTAAGTGTCCTACTGTTTCCCAGTGGCTTAAAGATGTCATGTTTTTTTTAAAACTTGAAAAAATTAAATATACGCTGAGAGGTTGCACGGCCAATTTTTTTCATAAGTGGCAACCCTTTATCTCTTATTTTACTAGTCTAGAGGTATTACCTGTTTAAATGTACTTCTGTTAGTTATATTCCGGTAATATGTTTGACGGTTGTGTTGATCTGTGTGGGACGGCGGGGGGGGGGGACGTCTTTGTTTTTTGGTATGTTTTTTTTGTCTAATTGTCTTGTCCCCCTTTTTTTTGTTGTTGTTGTTGTTCTGTCTGATTGTTGTTATTTACCTAGAAAAAAATGAAGAAAGGTTAATTGTATTTTGGTAACTGCAAGTACTGTTGTTTTCTTCTTTCAATAAAAAATATAATAATAAAAAAAAAAAAAAAAAAAAGAAAAGAAAATTACATTTTTGATGCTACAAAAGACAGTGAACTTAATTTGTGGGGATTGGATAAAGCAGCCCTCTATTTTATTTGAAGTAGTTTTATGGAAGTTTACCCTTTTCATTTCATGTTTGACACTTTAAAAATGTGTTAATGCCTAGTGTGATTATTTGGACCTGGGCTGTTTAGTTCAAATGAAAGGGTTTGTTTCTTTGATTGTGCATATTGCACTTGTGTCCAGTAACCCTGCCTTGAAATTGAATAAATTTCAATTTGAAACATTAGTTGCTTTTTTTTAGGATAGACAATTAGTTGTTTTATGAACTCACTTATCTCAACTTATCTTTTGGGACATGGTGCTGGGCTCTTACTTGTAGGGCTTTCTCACAATTACATATTATTCTTGTATACAAGAGTTTATTATAGCCTTATAAAATCAACCATAATAATAATCATAATGACATTAAAACAAATATTCCTCTAGTATGGAAACAATATCGGTATCGGTAGATATCCAAATTCAGGTATCGGAATCGGAAGTGAAAAAATGTGGATTGATGCATCCCTAGTTCCGACCAGACCCGTCTCGAGATACTGCCGGCACACGACTCTTGTCTTGGCGTCTGTTCAGACCCAGCCTGGGTCAGTGGAGCTCTTATTCTGAAAGGAGCTGTTGTCGTTGCTTGTTGTTATAGCGACTGGATTTTCTCAGCTTGTCGTGGTTCTTTCGGTTGAAGAGTTAAAGTTCAGGATTGGCCACTCCGTCACTTTGCTCTGGAACGCTTTGAACTGCATTAGAGTTGACGTGCCATCTGTTTTATACATCGGATGTTTTGGTTTATTGTTGAATGAAAATTACCAAACACCGTCAGAAGCACGCCTCCGTCAGATCTGTAAGGTTCTGATTGGATCAGTGAAAAACTGTGTCAAGTCCTTTTAACACTACGTGAAATGAGTCCTGTTGAACCATTTAAAGTTACATTACTTCATTTCTAAGATCATAATAAAATAATTAATATTTTAATTTCACAGGTCGGTCACATCTTGTTATATCGACTAACACTTTGATGGATTAGCTTTATTAAAATAGAGTTCTTTGATTAATCAAAAGGAAAGAATTCATTCTTCTTTCTTCTGTCTTCATGCTGGAATGTAAACAGTTTAGAAACGACTGTATGACCTTCAGGCTGTTTCAGACACACTGACACTGTATCAAAAAGAAACAGCTGTTAGGGTAGAAATGGCTCCTTCATCACGTTACACAGCTTAGCAATGTTCCTGAGATGGAAGAAGGAAGAGCCAACAAGAGAACTGGCATGAGAATCCAGGGTGAGAGCTGGGTCAAAGGTCACGCCAAGATTACTGACAGAGGGTTTGGTGTGAGAAGCAAGCTGACCAAGAGAGTCTCTGACTTTGGGAACCAGCTTCTCTGGGGCACAGATGAAGATCTCAGTCTTATCTTCATTCAGCTGTAGAAAGCTCCCACCATCCAGGTTTTAATGGAGTCTAAGCAGGAGAGTAACAGCTGCAGCGTTGACATCTCATGGGGCTTAAAGGAGATGTACAGTTGGATGTCATCCGTGTGAAGACGCTAGGAGACTCCTTTAAATGAGCTCAGCAGGTGCTGTAAAGGAAGCAGATAGAGCAGGGCCGTGCAGAGACCTTTGAAGGGGCGGGTGCTCAAAGTTAAAAAAGGGGCACATATACAGGGTTTTCCTGTATTCAAATTTGAGTGGCGGCCGCCTCCAGCTATTTTTGTGCCGCCTCAGCCTGATTTCACTCTGCCCCCAGCTATATGGATGTTACTGTAACTGCAGTTGCAGCGTTGCGCCACTACAGGGCGCTGTACCAGCAGCGGTGCACCGAAAAGCGCAAAAACCGCTGCAGAAAAAGATCAAAATTTGATTTTCTCGCTAGTTGGTACATACCTATGGTTGGTGCTATTAACGTCCTGATTTTCCCCCAGCTCTTCCATATCGGAGCAGGGCTGTAACTGTCTGTCTATTTTTTAAACGTAGCACGGGTGCAACATCTTTGAATTACTATTTTCCCCAGAACTTTATTGAACAAAAGTAAGTTACGTGTAAGAAAATGCTTTTTACTGGCGCACAGTGTGGTCATCTGGATGCAGTGGAGGAAAATACAGGAACCAACAAAGGCAGAACCGGTCCAAACTTTGGGATCAAAAGTGCAGCTACACGCAGATTAGCTAATGCTAAAGCTAACAGGTAGCAGTCTCGCGATCAAGTGGCGCACAGAAAAATATATGATGATGATGATCGTAAAACTATGAAAGACTAAACTCTACAAGCGGATGAAAAGTCCCCACCATCCTGTTTATTCTGCATCCTGCAGCACTACGGATCAGAACCGCTGCAGATACGGGTCACATTACAGCTACAAGTCTACGGCAAGCCATTGTGGTATATAAATCACAAACGCTTCTATCTTTGAACATAATTTGAACTGGATTATTGCTAACCCGTACATAATAGACATGCCACCATTACATTGTTAGCAGCAGAAATTAAATGTTATTACCATTTCCAACACAAGTGCATGTTAATGAAATGCATTATATTTTAATGCATATATTTATGTGTTATTATGACTAAGATGAGTGTTATTAATACAAACCTAAAATGTTACTGAAATGTAGGTCAAATATATAAAAATATTTTAACTATAAATATCAGATGGGAAAAATGAACTAAACACAAATCTGATGCATATTATTGAGCCTTTCATAATAAGAGTCTGTTATTTCAGCCTGATAATTTTGTTGTTTCATTTTATATTTTTTAGCAGCAAACCAGTTTTGTTTCACTTGAAACGTTGTCAAATGGAATTAGGGCTGCAACTAACGATTATTTTCATAATCGATTAATCTGTCGATTATTTTTTCGATTAATCGGTTTGTTATTGTTTAGCTATTTAACCTATACAAGTGAAGAACACATTTCAGTTAAGAAAAAGAAAAACATAAGAGAATTGTGCAGTTGACTGCAATCTATTTTATTGCACATGAACACAGTCAGCGGTGTAAAATGAGCTAAACAGTGCAAAATATCAGTCCAGAATATTTTTTGGCATCAAAATATAAGAGGTAAATTCCTTACAAAATAATGTAGAATCTAGAATAGAGTTTGTAAGTGGTATGCATTGTTGGGGGTGAGTGTCTTGTTCCCCATGTAGTTGTCCATCGTTTCTTGTCTTTTTCTGCATAAGAAACACAAATAGACTGAAATAAGTACACATAAAATAAAGCAGCACACACTACAACACTAAATCAACATTACATTATTTGAATTAATTAACAATATACAGTGATCATTTATTTTGACAAAAATGTGTTGTGAGGCGTTTTACAGCGTTAGACAGTAAAACAGCCTTTTAATAGTAAAAAAAAGGACTTTCTGAATTTCTCCTGTATTTAAAAATTGAAAGCGTACAACTATGCCGCGTTATATTCACCTGGACACAGCTCGTCTGTATATTTTTCTCTGCGGAGTTGTCCTTTTTTGAATGAGGAACACAGTTATGGGTTTGTGCCGTTTTTCTCTTAACGAGAACATTCTTATAAACAAACGTGCTAAATTTGGCAAGCGCATGATACACAACACGGAGATTCACGATTGCATCACGTCAATCAGAAGTAGAACACCGTAAACTGACGCAGCAAAAAAACATGTTTAACATCCACTATAACGAACTCAGCTCCCAAATTTGATCTGCGTTAGCTTGTTTATTTTCTGTTACTTACCGGATTCACCGGACTTTCCTCTGCTGCATCACCCCCCACGTTTTCGTCTCAAATGTTCACTTAGGGACGTCGTGCTTCCGTGCCATGCTAGATGGTTTTTGCATATTTTGCAGGTCACCCGTCTTTTCAAGGCATCTAGAGTGAAGTGCTCCCATACACGTGAGGTTTTTGTCCGGGGTTTCTATTGTTTTGTCGCTTCTATTTTCTTCCGTATTTCTTCTTGTTCCGCCATCTCTCACAGCAAGATGAGCGTCAGTAACGTGATACGTCATGAAAACCGAGGGCACTTATTGGCTCATTTCTTCTCTACCGCTCCACTGGTAGATCAGTGGCTCATTACTGCCACACACTGGCGGCAAATTTAACAGATTGTAACCGATGTCAGATTGTGGTAAAAAATAGACTTTATGCGGTAAAATATGATTATTAAACAACTAATCGATGACTAAAAAAGTTAACTATTTTAACAATCGATTAAATCGATTAGTTGTTTCAGCTCTAAATGGAATATTCTATTAATCGCCAGAAGCTTAGATTGGAACACTTAACTGTCACATTATTGCTCCCCTGTGCCTTGAGTTTTTCCTTAATTGTGTCCACCTGCCTCTTGTTACCTGATTACCCATCCCAGTGTGTATATAAGCCTTGTGTGTTGCATGTGGTTTTGTCGGTTCGTACTCGTTACATGTCAGTTTATGTTCACATCTGTCTACCCTGTCGTGTCTGCACTCCTGACCATTAAAGAGGAACCAAATGTCTGCTGCTGTCTGCCCTGGGTTGATTTACCTGCCTGAAGGATCCGCTCTTCATCCCTCACCTTCCCTCCACATTGTGACACTTAACGAAAACATATTTGGCCTTTAAAAAAGTGAGGCAGTTGAATGCACAGAGTACGCATGTGCTGGCGCACGGTCAGGATGGTACCACCTCTGCCTCAGTCTGAGCCAGGAAAAACCCTGATATAGAGCAAAGTTTTTAAACAGATTCATGATCCAACAAGTTAAAAAGTTCAGATAGAGACCCTTGGTTTCAAACAACATAATGTAAACCAGGAAAATATGTCAATAATTAAGATAACGCTATTTCATAAACAGTTGTCAGGGTTTCCCTTACATAGGCGTAGCCGTGGCGGCCCGCCACGCCTACAAGATCCCAAGTTTTATTTATTTATTTTTTTTAGCTGTTTCACGAGGAAGCAGCGGGAACTACTATGTTGTCGCTTGTGATCCCAGCCGGCAGGCAGCAAGGAGGAGCAGGCAGGGCAGGGTGAAGTTACAGCATAAAGGTAGCAGTGGATATAATGCTTTTTGGTTTACATGTTTCAATAGCATTAAGATAAATGAGCGTTGACGATCTTGACAGGGTTTCCTCCCCCCACCAGGCTAATCATCACTTATTCATTGTAACATGAGGAAGTATGGGTTTCTGTGCCAAAGGTCGTATTTGCCCGGCTGGGTAAAAGCTGGGTCAAGCAGCAACTTCACCCACAGATTAAGACCTAAGCCGCCAGCAAGTCTGAAGGAATCCACAACATCCGAACACCTGCTCTCCAGAAGAAGGACTTCACACACAGTCTAGTCATAATAAAACAGAGTCTTAAGCTTTCTTTATTTTTGTTAAATAATCATTTGATCACTTTGCTCATTATAAATGTACTTTAATCAAATGAATGATTATTATGCTTTGGGTAATCATAATGAACTATAATGAATCAATACTTAATTAAATAATGTTTTTGAAGATGTTTAGCAGTGACCTTCACACCTGCTCATACAGGTCCGTATCCACAGTAACTCAAAACACATTTGCTCTGACGCACAACAAGTTTGCTTTGGGAAGAGAAGTGTTTTGGTAAGGAGTCAGAACGAGAGTGAGAACGGAAGAGAGCGGAAGTGCGGAACGAACGCCACGGGGAAAGAAGCCCTGCCGGCTTCTTTTCTCCCCCCCACGCTATTTCTGTCAAGCCAGACAGAATAGCTAAAATGCAACCAGCTCTTCCCAGAGTCTTTTGATTTCTGAGTTAATTTAAACATGAGAAAGCGCATCTGCCGAAACGCTTCAGCAACGTGTACCGAGGTCAACCCGGGACTGGACCGTCGCATACCTTTGTCTTCTCTGCCAGCCAAGGTGTCATCTGGATAACACATCCTCCGAGGTCCGGATCTAAAAGGGGGTCCTAAGTTCGGTGAGGCAGAACACGATAGATAGCGTTCTGATGCAGTTTTTCTAATAAGAACTAAAGTTTAATTGCAAAACATCATTTTTCACTCAGATCACCTTCTCTCTCCCTGAAGCAATCTCAGACACCTGCATGCACGCATTCATAATTCCATCATCCTCAAATTTAGCCCAACCAACACAAGGTCTGTTTGAGCAAGCTTAAAATATCAACTGTTAAAGATTGTCCAACAAGGTTGCCCATGTTGATTGTTTTTCCTATGATTGTCATTTCAAATCGTTAGTTTAAATTGAAGAAATAAATCTCTTAAAATTTAAACTCGCCTTTTCATTGAACTGAAACACAGACAAATGGATATGATCGTCAGTTTATCGATGAAAACAACCTTTGAGTCTTCTTATCTTTATAACCTTTGGTTATTAATTTGTTAAAAATTAATATTCCAGATTATTATGTAGAATGGTTCATCTTTCATAAAAGAGCCAACAACCATTACGCTACATCATGTAAAATTTATTTATTTTTTCATGTCTGACTTTAACCGCATCTAATACTGTATTACGGCGTGAGCGCAACAGCGACAACTTAAGATCGACGTGTGAGCAGCCTTAGAGGTCGGGTGTTTTCATCTGAACCCTTAAAACCTCCAGCAGGCTACGCTGCACTATTGACGTGTTAGCGCGCGGCGCTAACAACTTAGTGACGTGACATGTATCGGAGAAAGCGTAAAAACACGTTGGATGCTTCTTCTGAAGCGGGAAAATAACACCTCTTCTTAAGCAGAGCACGACGTCGCCTCGATTGAGCTCGATAACATTGACCCAGCACAGCCACTGGGTCGTTAGAGCTGCCCCGTGACTGCCTGATGGAAAACGAGCGGGTTTCATCAGACTCGTAAAGCTTCTTGTTTTTGCTGGGGACCCCCTGTATTTTACCGCTCCCTCCTGCAGTCTTCCCCTATTAACATTTAAAATGATTCTGTAAATTCGTGTATCAATAGAAAAAATCTCTGCCTCTGCCAGCTGCAGTAAATGTAGTCTCCAAATAATAAATAAGAGGTGCATTCATCTGTGGATCTCCTTTGATCCGCATTAGTGATATTCTCAGCACCTGAACAGTGAAGCAAAGAAACAGATAAGACCAATAAGATTGATCATTTATAATTAGATGGAATATCACATCTTATTGATCATTCAGTAAAAGTAACCACTTCCATCACGTTACACCATCAGCATGGCTCTACACTTCATCCTGCAGCATCTGGACTCCCTGGGTACCTACACCAGGATCCTGCCAGAAGCAGAAACAGCTGGAGTTAGCAGGTCAGATCCACGGTGTGTAAAGTCCACTCATGGAGGGAACAGGAAGGGAAACCACTGAAGAACCAGGATAAACAGACCCGAGGAAACATGGACGGAGACACGGCGCTGCCCCGTGGCCAGGCGGGAATGTGGAAACGGACCTGTGGCTATTCCAAACACAGGCGCCATCTTGTTAGCGGCCAGAAGCAGAGTATGGGTGGGATGAGGCTGGCCCATACTCTGGAACAGCAGCTGCTATGTGTGGACTCTCATGTGATTTGTTTGTTTACATTTGTAGTAAACCTTTCTCCAGTCATCATGACTAAATGATTTAGGTTTCTTCTGGACTTTCCTGCACGAGTCTACATGTTGCTTCACTCTAACACATTTCTTATGAACCAAACAGCCTGAAGACCTGACTGCTGGATGACTCGTCTCCCTCACGTGTCTCTGGAGAGACCACTTGTGAAGAACTTGTTGACAGACTTACCATCTGACTCAGAAGACCTGCTCTCATTCCAGTCATCATCTTCATCTCCAGTTTCAGACCCAGAGTCTGACAGCTCAGAGTCCAGATTCACATCATCCTCTTCATCATCTTCATCTCCACTAACTTCAGTCTCTGAAGAATCAGATGTTTGTTCATGAGGGTTCAGATCTGGGTTCCTGCTAGTTCCTGCTCCTCCACCAGTTTCTGCGGTCATCTGGTCAGCTGAGCTGCTGGTTGGAACATCTCTGTCTTCTATTTGCTGCTGATGAAGCTGTGAGACCAGAGGTTTCTCTTCATCATCCTCACTCTTTATAGAAACAGCAGTAACAGGAGACCCGACAGCTTCAGTCTCCTCCTTCAAACAGAGATGCTCTCCCTCCAGACTGGTCCAGAGCTCCTCCTGTTCCTCCTTTATGTGGAGGTGTTCTGGGTCCTGCTGGTCCACACCAGCACTCTGTTCTTCAGGATCTTCTTCTTTAACCAGCACCAGCTGTTGAACATCTGTAGGAAACACAGACACATGATGTTACACACCACCATACCTTTATATTTACACCACGAGTGATACCGGCTACATGATGTGGGGAAAAGGAACAAGAACATGAACTTCATTTAGATAAAAACAGATTTCTACTTTAGGATCAATAAAAACTTCCATCACAATCAGCGTGTTTGGTTCTGACCAGAACTTCTAAGCCTCCTACTGTCAAGTGTTTTCTTCCACTGTGAGGTGCCGACACTTGGAAAGAGCAGACTTTGGATTTCACTCAGAACAATTTATTTGACCAGTACTGAGATCAGTCCGGGTTCAGGAACCAGTCAGGTGGAAAAGCTTTAAATAACAAAAATAAACATGTAACTAAATCATGCAGATAAACTTCAATGCTGTTACAGGTAATACAGAGCAAGGAGAACACACCAGCATCTTTAGTAACTTTCAGTTGGGCGTCTAGTTTTAGACAAGTACTATTCTATCTGCTTTTACAAGTACTGGCTGCTAATTCAGAGATGAATCATTTCACAATGAAGCAAGGATGAAAAAAGACTGATTTTACCAGACAAATAATTAAATACATGAATACATCTGTTTTCTGCCTTAACTTGCTTTCATTTAATTTACTATTATTCCTGCAGTCATTTCTGGCACTCCAGACGTTAACACACTTCCTCTCAGTAAATTCCATTCACACCCAGACGGATAAAGAGTCCATATAAAGACGTGAATCCAAGAGCTTACCGACAGCCCGTCAAGATCAAAGTCTTCCTCCTCACAGTGTACCCATTTGTGTTCGCTCTGCACTCCTCTCAGTCTGCCGCGCGCTGGGCAAAAGCTCGTTGCAGACATTTTGGCTGTACTTCATTTCCCCCGAGCACGAGCTCTTAATTGCCTCAATTCTGCTCACCTGGCGAGGCGCGCGCCGGAGCGCACGCAGGTTCCATCTGCGGTCACGCGCTGGCAACGCGCAACGGAGTCAGCATGTAGGGAAAGGATGAGGAACAATAGAGAGGGGCAGCCACACCTCTAAGGTCAGCGCAACACCTACTCACAACTCATTCTTTAGATCTGAAGCTGATGTGAGGAGAAACGTCTCCAAGATCAAATCAGCAACTATTCAGTCAAAAGGAAAATGAATAAACACTTAGATGTAGCTGCTGTCAGTAACAACCTTTAACTTTTAAGCTCTCAGCAGGCTAAAGCACTACAAAGCAAAGGAACCTTACAAATGAGCATTTTGGGAGATTTATTGTTGTTATTATATTATTATAATGATTATTATTGTAGTTGTTATTATTATATGTCCTGTAGTGGGTTACTTGGTGATTGAGCAGTGGGCGGAGCCTGTTGTTTTCTACTCATTGTCTTATGTTCTAGCTTTAGTGTTCAGCGTTTTATTGTAACTCCTTGTGTGACCTCAGTCTGGGACACGTGCTGTATGAATAAACTTGGTTCTTCTTCCACCACAGAGAAAGGCTGCTCTTCCAGCATCATGAACTTCCTTATGGTCCGGTTATTAGCCGAGCCTTCTGACGCTCATACAGACGGGTGTTGGTGAGCGTAGCTGCGTCTGACTGGGAGGTGTTTATCTCTGCAGCGATCCCTGGAAACTCACCTCACTCCACCCAGATGTTGTTCTTCACATCTTATTAAACCAGCTGTGATCAGCTTCCCCAGGAGCTGGAGCTTTTCATTGCAGGACTCAAAGCTTACATCACTCTCGCAGACAGAGTTAAAGTTAGGCGGACATGTTGTTTTACATTGTTGCTGCTGTCCTGCACAGCATGAAGGAAAAGGGGAAGAAGCCCAAGTGCATCACACAGGGTTCACACAGGTGTTGCTGGTATGATCAGAACATCCCAAACTAACACCAACGTAGATAAACAATAAACAACTTGTATTAAGTACTGATGAGCTATCTGCAGGGGAACAGGACCAGCTGGCATCCTCACACAAAAAGGAGGAATGGGTGTCTTTTATAGGCCAGCCAGGCACTAATTGGTGTGTTTCCATTACCGAAACTTCCCAGTATGACCGTCTCCACTTCACCGGAGCCAGCCGAACCGGTCATTTTCCAGACCTTTTGAGAGTCTTTGCAGGTTCTGTGGCCTCGCCCAGATGACCCGCGGGCAAACCCAGTTCTAACCAGAACTGGGGGACGGAGGGTTTCAAAGCATCTGTCAGCATTCATTCTGGACAGTTTTACTTATTTTATGCTTCTTTGTGAGAAATGTCCTCATGTCCCCGTGTCTGTGGAGGGATCAGACAAGGACACTGCTTATTATGGGATAGTAATGGCACTGACTCCTCCTCCAGCTTCCACAAGCCTGTAGTTTCACTTTGGTTCGTTTGGTCTTTTATTTTCTAACTTTGTTGACAACCATGTCAGTCACGCCCACCATGCGTGCAGCAGAGCAACCAGGAAAACGTGGAACGGACTTCAGCCGACTGACTCATTTCTAATGAATCAAGTGGAATGGATTTCTTTGAGAACAATGGAAAGAGCAAAAGATGTGTGTGTGTGTGTGGGGGGGTTCCCTCTGACATAAAGGTTGCGACATCTATGAACCACCTCCACTCAGTCAGCCAATTCAGTAGTTTGCTTGTAGTTTAACTCTTGATCCAAACGTTGGACCGTTTCTGCCTCTAACGATGGTTTCCGTCGTTGCTGGTTTCTCTTTTTTCCACCACAGCACCGAGATCACCACGTAGAGCTCCAGTAAAACGTGTTCAGACTGTGGAGCGCACGTTTAACGAAGCTTCGAATCAGTAAAAAATGAATCGAGGAACTTCAACGGATCTTCAACATGAGCCTGGAGATGCAGAGCGTTCCATCACTCTGGAAGACATCCTGCCGGGTTCCTGTCCCTAAAAAGATCAACCCGTCGACCCCCAGTGGCTCTGACTTCACATGTCATGAAGACGCTGGAGAGACTCATCCTAAAACATCTGCGGCTGCTGGTGGAGCCATGGCTGGATCCCCTGCAGTTTGCTTATCAACCTCGTATCGGTGTGGAGGATGCCCTCATCTACCTGCTGGACCGGGCATACTCTCATCTGGACATTGCTGGGAGCACTGTGAGGGTCATGTTTTTCGACTTCTCTAGTGCCTTTAACACGATCAGACCATCACTGCTGGGGAACAAGCTCACGGATATGCAGGTGGACGCCCCACTTGTAGGTTGGATTACGGACTATTTAACAAGTAGACCACAGCATGTCCGACTGATGAGCTGCCGCTCAGATAACATCCTGAGCAGCACGGGGGCGCCGCAGGGGACAGTCCTATCACCCTTCCGCTTCCCCCTTTACACATCTGACTTCAGGTACAAGTCTCAGTCTTGCCATCTGCAGAAATCCTCTGATGATTCTGCCATCGTGGGCTGTATCAGGGATGGTCAGGAGGTGGAGGACAGGAGTGTGGTGGACAGCTTTGTGGAGTGGTGTGAGCGAAACCACCTACAACTTAACATCACAAAGACTAAGGAACTGATTATGGACTTTAGGAAGCAGGCCCCACCTCCTACTCCTGTCACCATAAGAGGGGCTGACGTTGAGATCGTTGAGGACTACCGGTACCTGGGGGTTCACTTGGACTGGAAACTGGACTGGACTAAGAACACCAATGCCATCTTCAAAAAAGGGCAGAGTCGGCTTTTTCTTCTGAGGCGGCTCAGGTCCTTCAATGTTGGGAGGAAAATGCTGACCATGTTCTATCACTCGGTGTTGGAGAGCGTCGCGTTCTTTGCAGCTGTGTGCTGGGGCAGTGGGGTGAAGATAGCTGATGCCAACCGGCTGAACAAGCTGATTAGAAGGGCTGGGTCTGTCCTGGGTGTTAGACTGGAGAACCTGGAGGAGGTGTCTGAGAGGAGAATGCTAAAAAAGCTTCTCTCTATCATGGACAACCCCTCCCACCCCATGCACGCCCACATGATGGACCATCGAAGCAAACGCAGCAAAAGACTCATTGCCCCGAAATGCAGAACTGACCGCCACAGGAAATCCTTCGTACCGGTGACAATAGGACTGTTTAACTCTTCCTCACGCTGTAGGTGATTCTCCTAATACTGTTACCTAGGTTACTCTGTGCTCTCACCAACTGTGCAATATTACCCAAGAGTTCTGATTGTAAATATGTTTTTATCCCCCCATCATATAATATGCTGCTACAAACCCATATTCTTTTACACAATACTTTAATCACTTGTGAATCGCCTGCACCGACGGCTTAATTACTTATTCACAAGGATGCAGTCATGTATTTGATTATTGAGATATGCGATTGTTTGTTTTGCACTATCCTGCATGGTACTACTGTAGATCTTTATTTAAATGTATATATTGTATATCATATTTCTATTTCACCTGTTCCTTTGTCTCCGACTGCTTTGAGCATGTACATGACACAAGAATTTCCCTCGGGATAAATAAAGGTGTTCTTATCTTATCTTATCTTAATGAATCGAACCATTTGATGATTCGTTTCAGCCCTACTTCCTTTCAACGCTTTAACAACTCTTTAACTGTCATTGGCATGTTTTTACTGTGTGGGCGTCGGAACGAGCCCCCGCACCGTGAGAACAAACATCCCAGCTCTAAAGCCGATCTTCATCCGCGTACGTCACACGTCACGTGATCAGGAAGCAGAAAGTCCACGTGTTAGATCAGGGGAGTCAAACTCAAACTCACACTGGGCCGAAATGAAAATCTGGGACGGAGTCGAGGGCCAAACTTACTATTTTTTGAAAAAGTGACGGCAAATTTGCACATTTTCTTTATCAACATATATGCAATTTAGAACCTTTTAATTTGGAAACAAACTTATTTCTGCATTAACACTGAATGTGGAATAACCAGATTACACACGAGCAAGTCAGTTTTAAATAAAAGGCATCAGTGGTATTCATTACTTGTGGTATATTCAGCATTTTTAAAATCTGTTCAGGATTTATGTTTTCTTGTTGTTTATTCATTTTTCTTATTTTTTATTCTCCTTTTTTCTCCTGTAATACGTGTCATCGCTGCTGTGACGTCTAGCTTTCCCCACTGAGGAACAATAAAGGGATTTTCTATTCTATTCATCTATCTGCAGCCTTTCCACTTCCTGTTTACTGTAGGTTAAATCTTTTCTCACGGGCCAACAACAAAATAAAAATATCATTTTATCTTAAATGAAAATGCAACATCTCACCTGTTAACTTTCATGTTTTGGAGCAGAAAAAGAGCATAAAACCAACATATTTAAAGCTCAGTTTGCTCCACTGGTTTACTGTGATGCTCACCTGTTCCAGCCACATACCTGCATCATGGGGTTGATCTGAGCTGAGGAGGAGACTCCTGTTGTTTTGTTCATCTTCATCATAATAACGACAACATTAGATGACAACAGGTGCTCACATAGGTTTGTGCTGCTGAACATGTCTGAGCAGCTTGACCACGTCGTTGTGTGTCGGGGAGGAAAAATAACAACTACAGCAGCCACAGAGTCATGCTGGTTTGAGCGTGTCGCTGCTCGCTGGAGTTATATCAGCTCTGTCTGGAAGTTAGCTGGAAAACTTTCTCTTTCGGTCGTGAACACATTACTGAGCGGCTAGAATCTCCGTTTCTGGGCTTCAACGTCAGAAAATAGCTGAATAAACTCGGCGCTGAGTGAGAGGAGTGTTTAGTTGTCCGAGACAAGGGAGCTGCAGACACCGGCAGCAGACGCTGGAAAAAACACAACGGAGGGGGCGCTTCGGCTCCGCGCTAACGCTGCAAAGCATCATGGGAGTTGTAGTCTTAGCGGGTCAGTTTTAATATATTTTTGATAATTATCTCGCGGGCCACATAAAAATGCTCCACGGGCCACATGGTGTCTGACACGTGTGTGTTAGGAGATCGTTTTGGGACGCTGCTGTAAAAAAAATAGTGAGGCGAGAACCGGAAAAGCTTCTGCCGATCACATTTCAACAACGGCTTATGAAAGAACGGATAACGTTCAAAACGCGCGGATTCTTCCTGTAAGAGGTGAGTCTACTCTTTGTTTTGGTAGTTTTGGCGTTGACATCATCATAGAGCAACGTTCTGTGACTCTTAAAAAAACAGTAAAAACGCTGAAAAACGCTGGCAGCGAAGAGCTTTTCTGATCAGGAAACGGCTGGCAGTGAGTGAGTTAAACAAAAAGAAAAATCTAATTTGTGCTGCACATCCATAAAAACATCCATGTTTAGACTTCTTCTGTGTTCGCAAATCAGTCAGTGAATCATACCGTAATCAGTCACATGCACACACCACGGCCCATCGTCATTTACTGGACTAATGATGGGCGAATGGAAAAACAGCCCAACCCTAGTGTGGGCTACCGGAGCTGCAATACTTACTCTGAACTGCGTGGTGCTGAAGAGTCGAATGTTTTTACACACTGGGCCTTTAAGCTCTAAACCACAGCGACGTGCTGAAGCAACAGCAGTCATACGTGCTGTCAGCGCCGCTGCCGTCGTGTCTGCAGCAGGCTGTCTCCCCAACTGTGATTGGTCAAATGATGATGCGTGACTGACGCTACAACAAAGGTAGGTTGTGAACACGATGAAAACCTCTCCTGTCTCTGACTGATTCTCGTAGTGACTGAAACCCGACAGAAGACCAAATAGTTCCCACAGCTTCATCTCACCGCTCCCCATGGGGACGGGTCGAATGCAGGACGTAACTTCACCAGTGTGTGACGATGACTTTGGGACTTTAACTATACTTGGCTTCAAAAATCATTCATTAGAGAGATCTAATCACTCTAAAACTACAAGGTTCTACAACAGTGTGTGAATGAGTGAATGACTGGTTGTGATGTAAAACGCTTTGGGGGGTTTTAGAACCCCAGTAGTGCTAAACATATACAGATCATTATTTTAAAGATTGAACCTCATTCTCATCATTTCACTGTAATGTCCCACCATAGACTGACCATATATTCATTCATTCATCCACCAGTACCTGTGTCCATGCTGTCCAGGTCCAGGTGGTGAAGAACACACGATGAATCAGTCCCAGCTGATGGATGATCCTGAAGTGGTAGCAGGTTTTCTTTAGCCGTGTTTAGCTAACAGCTGCAATAGAAACAAAGCAGGAGAGCTGATTAAGATGCTGCTTCAGAACAACGCAGGAGATTAAAGATCCAACGCTTTGGTTCTGATCAGCTGAGGACAGATCCAGTCTGGAAAAGAGGACCTTTGCTCACCAGAGTTCACGGAGTAGAGCTAACCGCTTTTTCCTCCAGAGTCACATTCAGATTCGGGCCTTTTCCGTCGGAGAGTGTGAGCAGGATGGATGAGAGAGCGAGCAGCGATCCTGCATCATGACCAACTCAGATGAGCGAGTCTGATAGAGGGAACCTCTTCAATCTGATGAAAGCAGCAAAACGAGCGCGTTTCTCAGAGAGGCCAAAGGAACAGCAGCAGATCCAGAGGGCAGGAAGTCTAGAGAAAAGCTTTTCTCACCCACAACCTGATTCTGGAGCTCCGATTGTCACGAAGACCGCAGAATATCTTCTCTGGTTCTGGAAAGAACTCCACCAAGTTGTTGAGGAGGAGAAGAAAGTTTCCACAGCCTGGTGAGAAGATTTCTGCAGCAGCAGCAGTTAGTCGCTTTAGCTGATCAACTCTCCCAGAGACTGAAGTGAAGACATTTTTACTGCAGAGCCTCAAATGTTCTCCTCACACACCAGAACAACAAGCTAGCTCTGCTAGCAGCTTCCGGTTTCTGCTTCTTCAGGTGGTCGGTGACCAGCGTAAAGGTGCACTAGCGCCACCTGCTGGAGCAGAATAAAACACACCTGTGTGATCAGAATGGGACTAATAAAACACACATAACATGTGATATCTTCCTCAAACAATTACTTAAAGTAAAGACAAGTTAGTTTTACACCTGTTATAATAATTTTGTAATTTACTTTATTTTAATCTAGTTTGTTTTTATCTCATTTGTTTTTCTTTGATGTAAAGCTAATTATGTGTCTGTTGCTGCTGCCTCTTGGCCAGATCGTTGTTGTAAATGAGCATGACTACGTTTACATGCAGCCAATATCCGGGTTATGATCGGGTTAAGGTCGGTATTCGGGTTTCTGAGTTGATCAGCATAACCCGTTTACAAGCATAAATAGAAAGAGTTACCCCTAACTTGCATAACCCGATTTAAATGCGGACGTTGGGGTAGCGTCAGGACGTATGGACTACGTCCAGACGCAATATGCCTCATTTCCGGTTCTTCTTGTTCCGGTATCCGTGAAAACAACAACATTGTTCCCAGTTCGGAAGAGATAGCGACCGCGTTTCTTTGCGCTTTAGTTTCCTCGTCACTCCAAAAGTGTGGTGCTGTGCCGCGACTCACCATGTTGCTCCCAACTTGTTGTTTACTTCCGGTGTTCTGGCGCATACAAGACGTCTCGCTACTCAAAAGACCAAGATTCCTTGCGAACAGAGCATGCGCAGAACACACTCTTTGATGGGGATATACCGGTATGCGTTTACACGACCAAACATTCGGGTAAGAAAAGGGTTACCCCAGGTCTAGTAACCGGGTTTTTAAAAACCCGGTTATGAGCATATCCGGGTTTTTGGCGGTGTTTACAAGGACCTGCGGAGCCGGGTTATTGTGAATATTCAGGTTTTAAAAGGGTTACTGGCTGCATGTAAACGCACTGAATGAGTTCTCTATCGACTCATCTGGTTAAATAAATAACATTTTAAGTTGTTTCTTCAAATGCACTGACAAACAAGAAAAATAATTTACCTTTTTGACGTTTCATTATCTAAATACATTTTATTTACTTATTTTTATATTCTTTATTTAACCTGGAAGGTTCCATTGAGATTAAAGTTCTCAGTTTTGAGGGAGCCCTGGCCAAGAGGCAGCAAAAGATACAGTCACAACATTTCTGTTACAGTTATGTTCAAAATTATAGAAGGCAGTTACAACCAGGGCGTGGGACAAGAAGTAAGCCACAAGATGCCTTATGTTGCAATCATCACACTTTATTTTCCACATGCATTAGGAGAGATTCTGCCGCCCCAGTCCTTGTGACAAATCTGAATATTTTACAAGATGTACACCTTTTGATTCTTCCTCTCATGCTGCAAAGTTTCATGTTGACCCCTCCCTAACTTTATTGAAGGCCATCACCTGTTGCCATGGTAACTGACACCCCTCTCTGCTTTCACTCCCTCCTCCAGATAAGATGGGAGACACATTGCCCCATCTGCTTCCTACCCTATCTTCCTTTGCTAAGGCTGCGATGACCTACGCCCTGGCTTTTTCCCGTTGAACAGCTTTTAGATGGTCTAGTCTGCACCTGGCCTTCGCCTGTTGAGAATCTCCTTCAGCACAAGCTGAAACTTCTAGCAGTATCAGCCTGCATAAATCAGATATAGGTCTAACTCAGTGCTAGAACGTACCAGTCACAGGTGAGTCATCCATTTGGTATATGCATCGTTCAGTTCAAAGGGACGTGAGTAACACCCGAACATTGAAATGATTAATATGGGGATTAACATACAGGTGATTCATTATAAGCATATAAATACATGTGTGATCAAACCTTATTTTCACAAAGCATACTGATGATTAACCATAAACATGAATACATGTGATTAAACATTATTTTTCCTTACACAGGCCATCATACAATGAAATGATATTTAAAGTGCCTCGGTAAACAATGCAATGTAATGCTTCCGCTTGAGGCCAGAACGCTCTCTCACCATCCTTCTGCTCCGTGAAAACCTGAACTGGTCATCTGCTTGTGCGTGATCATATGTCTCCAGGGAAAAACCGAAACATCTACAGCCGTGAGGTTCACTTTGCCTCAGACAGACTTGTTGCTGTTTTATGTTCTGGCTGAATCCGCGATCTGCTGCCACAGGGACTGGAATAACAAATGCTTCTGCACATGGACGTAATTTTGGGGGGGACAGGGGGGACATGTCCCCCCCACATTTTCCAAAGTCAAGTTTTGACCCCTGAACTTTTTACCATCCAAAACAATATTACGCTATATTAAATTAACACTGGATGAGCTCTAGGACCAAGCGGAAAACAACCGTTTGTGTTGAAGCCTGTTTCCCATTAGAGCATACCGTAAAGATACCCCCCCCCCTCCCCCGTGTGTCCCCCCCTCCCCCCCAACTTCTAAAGTGAAAATTACGTCCATGCTTCTGCATTAACATGAGTTGTGGTGAGCTCATGAAGAGGCTGCTGCAGAGCGGACTTTCATACGTTAACCCAAAATAGAAGCTAATGTTTCAATTTGATGTTGAAGGTTGTCAGCCATCCAGGTCATGGTAATCCAAAGGGTTCAAATGAAGGCAACGAGACTTCTTTGGTTCCTTGAAGAAGTTTGGCTTTTAATCTGAGGAGCTTAGTCAGTTCTAACTGGAATATGGGAGAGTCAAGCTTATGAGCTGTAGCTGTCTGTTGTTGTTTAACGAGCAGAAACTGTGGTAAAAGACGTGGGTTTACTTTTAGAGAGGTTATTAATCTCCCTCTACGATTAAAGGTTTCTCTTCTAAAGCTTCACCTCTGCCTTTCTATTTTGCTTGCTTATTCCATTTCCGTCAGATCCTCTTTCTAATTTTAACTGGAAAGTCAGAGCAACGATCGGCGCATCGCATTTAATGCATTTATTTGTGATCCAACAGGTGGCAACCCCTTGACTAAATACATTTAATCAAGCTTCAGCTTGCAAGTCTTTTGCAACTGCGCGAGCAACAATGCCAGACTTTATAGCTGAAAGTGGGCACTGCCCTCTGGACTTACCTCTCGGATCTGAGTCCAGGGAAAAGTGTTGGCCAAGGAGAAATCTTCTCCACACTCTCCTAGTCCTAGAATAGAATAGAATAGAATAAAATAGAATGCCTTTATTGTCACTATACAGGTCTAAAGTGAGATACAGAGCATCTCCTACTCAGTGTAAAAAAACATACTTGGGGGGGGGGGGGGGGTACAATTCTGCTGCGCTATGTACATATGGACAGTAATGTTATGTATATATAATTATTGCACATGGAATTTGGTATCAATAGATAGTGGTGGTCAATGGAGGAAGTGGGAAGTGGGGGGCTGTGTTATCGGTGCATGTGTGAGTTCAGGGTGGTTATTGCTTTGGGGAAGAAACTGTTTTTGAGTCTGTGGGGTTTTGCATTAATGCACCTGTAGCGCTTCCCTGAGGGAAGCAGTCTGAACACGTTGAAGCCAGGGTGGGAGCTGTCCTTGATGATGTTTGCTGCCCTACTGAGACAGCGGGAGGAATAAATGTCCATCATGGAGGGGAGAGGACAGCCGATGATCTTCTGTACTGTCTTTACCACACTCTGAAGCCTCACTCTATCCACCTTGGTGCAGCTGCCGTACCATACCGTGATACAGTAGGTTAGCAGGCTCTCAATGGACGAGCGGTAGAAGGTCAGCAGCAGGTCGGTGTTCAGTTTGTACTTCCTGAGGACTCTCAGGAAGTGCAGCCGCTGTTGGGCCTTCTTGATGACCGTTGAGATGTTTTCCGCCCAGGAGATGTCAGCAGAGATGAGGACACCAAGGAACCGGAATGTGTGGACCCTCTCCACACACTCCCCGTTGATGTAGAGGGGGGCCAAGTCGGTGCTGTGTCTCCTGAAGTCGACAGTAAGCTCTTTTGTTTTCTTGGTGTTCAGGGACAGGTTGTTTTCTGAACACCATGCTGCCAACTTCAGGACTTCTTCTCTGTACTCTGCCTCGTCTCCCTTCGAGATGAGTCCGACTACCGTGGTGTCATCAGCAAACTTGATGATGAGAGTGTTATTGTGGGTCGGACTGCAGTCGTGGGTGTACAGAGAATACAGGAGGGGGCTCAGCACACAGCCCTGTGGGGAGCCGGTGCTCATTGTGCGAGTGGAGGAGAGATGAGGGCCAAGTCTCACAGTCTGGGGCCGGTTTGTGAGGAAATCCTTTATCCAGGCACACGTGAGAGGAGGGATGCCAAGAGTGACCAGTTTGTTGATGAGAATGTCCGGGATGATTGTATTAAAGGCTGAGCTGTAGTCCACAAAGAGCATTCGGACGTAGCTCTG